TTTGACAATGGTTTTGTTCAGAAGGAACTCCAGTTCATGTTTGGGTGTTTCCAGTAACAGTGTAAGAAAAAAGGATCACAGTTATTTTTCTTTTTCTCTATCTGTATATATTTATATACCATTGCATTGAGCACTTTTTATTTAACGTCGGTCTATCTCAGGAAAAAAATATCTATATATTACTTGTCTGATAGGAGCTTAGTGCTATTCTAAATTCTATTAATGAAATCTGGCACAAATTATCAGGCTGAAGAGAGCACTCACCGATATTCTTCTACCAGAGGCAGAGTTAATATTGCTATCCCTGTGATACGCCTTTCTTAGTGTGTCAATGATTCCAGTCCCATACCGCTTCCTTTGGCAGCAATAGAGAAGGAAGGGATAATGTCCAGGGCATCATCAAGCTGGCTGACTGCTAGGGGAGAAAAGGGGCTATTCAATGCCTGCCAGGAAGCTACCAGGAAGCTGTCTAAGGTACTGAAATAGAATACTGACTCAATAAAACCAATAAAACAAAACCCAATGCTGTCCAGTGAATTCTGACTCATAGCCACCCTACAGGACAGAGTAGAACCACCCCATAGGTTTTCCAAGGCTATAGCCTTTATGGAAGCAGACTGCCACATCTTTTTCCCACAAAGCTGCTGGTGGGTTCAAACTGCCGACCTGTTCCTTAGCAGCCAAGCACTTAACCACTGCAACACCAGGGCTCCTTGCAGATTCAATAGGGAGAGCAAAATGACCACTCATGGATCCTCGACCTGCTTCTAGAAATTGTGAGGGAAGTAAAAGGGCTATTTATAAAACTGGGGACATATTTTAGGATTGAAAAGCAGTAACCTACTGGTAGTGCAATGACTTCCTAACAACTCAGTTGTGGCACTGTGATGGTAAGCAACACCATTTGTTCTGGAATAAAACACTGATTCTTAATTTAAGATGCATGGGAGGTCCTGGAAGTATGCACTAATCCTCTCTCTGCTAACTACCTCTCTCTGCTAATTCCACTACTTGTTTGATACATAATAATTGATTTTTGGTAACTATTGACTGTCTTCAGTGGACTAGATAAAGCCAAAGTGTGGGCTACATAGAGTCAGGTCTGGGCTGCTACTGAGAACAACAGTGATTCTATTTTTATATCTATTTAATACTTTTTACTTAAGAATATTAACTATTATCTTCATGTTAAGTGCAGAGAAACTGAGGTATGAGGTGGATATATTAATTGGCCAAAGATGTGGATCCAGTATTTGGGTTTTAGTTATTCTGAGTCTGTATCTCTTTTTCTTCTTTTCCATGATTGCTTATTTACAAAGAAATTACTGGAAATTTAAGAGGGGGAACCCCAAAATATATCAAAACCATTATTTCTTCAATGCTGTTGCTTCCTGGCCTTTAAAAATAGCGATACCTGGCACTTGCTCAGCACTTTAGAATGTACTTCTGTGTGCATTTCCTATGTCTCCTAATTTAGGAGACTGTTGTCACACCACTGGTCCCCGCGGAGGTCAGACAGTCAGTGGTGACTCAGGGCCTTGCCCCTCTTGTTCTTTAGGATTGTATTAAGTATTTTTAGAAATACGATGTCATGAAGTTACATATTATGAGGATGGCAAGAGCAGCTTATAGATACTTGATGGCAATTTGTCAATGATGATCTTACACATGTGGCCTTTGATGCAAAGGTGCAGGCTTTTATTTGGACTTCAATCTAAGGAGGAGCAAGCCCCTAGTCTGGTATGATTTATCAGCTGATGCTATGTCCTGAAATTCCACTGAGATTAGTGGTTTTGAAGTATCACAGTACATCCCTGACTTTACAGTACATGAAGCGATAATATGGCTTAAGCGATGAAGGGGTGGCTTTGTATTTCTAATTCAAGTGTCTATATGTTTTAGAGATTATTAGAGCACTTTTTACCTGTCACTGAGTTATCAGAAAGATTATAGTAGGGGCTCTGCTGCTGGGGCAGCCTTCCAGGAGTGGGCAGAACTCAATCCATTCAGTATTGGAGTGAGCTTACATTAATTAGTAGTTTTTAAATATAGCCAATGCTCAAATAGATCATTAAACCTCCTGCACCACAAAACTTGAAAATAAGGAATAAGAAGGCATGGCATGAGAACCCACCTGCCTTCTTTTCCCATCTGTGACAGTGATGTGCAGTGGAATCGGCCAAAAGATGGAAGAGGGACCCTAGGAAGAGAAACCTGGGTGACCTAAACCCAGGAGAGTCAATTCCTAAGTCATCAAAGATTGATTGTACTTGCAGAAGAATGAGTAACTTCCCCACATAAAGCTGAAGTACCAATACAGAAGTAGCCTCTCATTTAGCATTGTGGGATCAGCATGCATATTAGATTTTTTTTTTTTTTTTTTTTTAAGACTAAGCCTATTTTTGCCAAGGATGAAAACCATACATAGCTATTGCACTACCAATAGGTCATGCTACAAATGCCCATGTGTTTCTAGGATGCCAGTGGCTACTGCTACCGGAAATAACTCCAGTCACTCCCTTGACTAGTGTTGCCGCTTGGTCTTCAGGGTTCACCGAAATGGAAAGCATTAATGATAGTTAAAGAAGAATTATCCACAGACCACAATGGATCAATGACAGTCTGTGTATACTTTCGGGCAGGAGGAGTGGCAGTGGAATCTTGCATGTCACTTATTTAAAATGAAGACTAAAACCCTACACACACACACATACACACACACACCCCACAGGGTTACAGCAGAATGGAAAGAGTGAGTAGGAATCATTAGTTGAGGCCTGTAGGTTAAATGATTCGGGTTGGTACAGTTAGGTCCACTGACCAGACAGTGATCTTCACTTTGTGAAACAGAATCCCACAAAGAAACTGCATGGTTATTTCATCTGTTTATATATTTTCTTTGTATTCTGCTGAACTGCCATTGAAAACAGTAGCACCATTCTTGGAACATAAAAAAAAAGGCGGGGGGGAGGTGATCTTTCAGATACTCAACAGTTAAAACAACAACAATAACAACAAAAAGCCAACAGCAAGTGGGTCACCTATGGCATGCAAAACCACCAATGAAAATAATAGGAGTTCTCAAGATAAGCATGAGACTAGCAGAGAAACAACAAAAGCAATAACAAAAGACAAAAGGAAAGACTTAGCAAGAAGCCGGATCTTCTTGAAAAAGTGGCCTTATTTAATGCTAGGATTGTCTATCCTCTTTTGCTGTTCAATGATTCCCTCCCTTATCTTTATAGGACCAAGCCCAGTGCCACAGAAGAAAAGTCCCCACAGCCAGACACCAACTCTGGAATGGTGATGTTGTTTTGTTACAAAGCTAAACCCAATAGAACAATCCTATGCAAGAACACCCTTTTGCTATCTCTTAAACAGATGAAATATTCCATAGAGTATCATGTAATTCCCCACAAGCCAAAGTCAAAGCCTCAGAATGAGAAATGTGATGAACCACATGATGGTTTTCATGTCACAAACATGTGCATTACAGATGGGGTTAGAGGGCAATGAAAAGTTCTGCATCCACATCCCTTCTACTCACAGTGCTTGTTTCTACACTGGATCTTGATATTTCTGAAGTATCTTGGAGTTCAAGATGTATTAAAAGAGTTTTTGCACCAAGATTAACATGGTACAGAGGAACAGGCTACCATGAATCTGTGTCATCTCATCTGACCCACAAGTTCTCTAAGGGTTCCCTTTATTCTCACAGTACTCATTTTGAGGTGACTTCAGGCCAAGTAGAAGGACCACATGGACCACTCACTATCACTTCTCCCAGAACAGCAGCTCTCTGGGGGAAGCACTTGACCTAACGTCTGGGGCTGGAATCCTGCTTCTGGATAAATACAGCTCAACAAATCCCCAAAGAACACTTCTAGTCACTCAGGTTCCATTGGGTTGCACTTGTTTGTGCATGTGCACACACACACACACACTCACAAATCCCTGTCCCCTCCCTGCAATCCATACACCTGGTCATGTAGTCCATCGAAACACAGCTTGTTTGGATGCAAGAAGAAATCTCTGCAGAAGCTGTTATTTTTAGAAGTCTGCTTATCCCTCCAGAATGCCAATAATTTTGGCTTGGCATTCGTCTCAAGCCAACCATGGTGCATACCCAGGGCAAAGCAACCTGCATTGTGTTGGAAGGGACTTGTACCTTCAGCACAGCTCAGAACATGGCTAACCTGAGATACTGAAAGCACCTCCCATTCAAATCCCAACCAATTCAGCACACGCTGAGAGCAGGCCACAGTACCAGGTCCCTTTTTATTTGGGTTAAGTCCAAACAAAAAAGGACCAGGGTTGGATATGAGATGTGCGTGTGTATGTATATATACGTATGTGTGTATGTGTGCTGCATGCATATGCTTGCAAGCACACAAGTTTATATGGGTATTAATATTGGATGGAAAATCTGGCTTTTTATATATATATATATATATATTTTTTTTTTTCAGTCTAAATCAAGTCTTATGACTGTTTAAGGTATGAGAGGAAATTATGTCTGTTTTGGCAAGTTATGGGCAGCCCTCTTTCACTTTTGTCTTCCAGAGACTGCTTTAGACAAAAGGAAAGGAGAGAGGTCCGCTCAAAGACCCCAGTGGTGAGGAACCCCTCCCCGCTGCCTGACAGGACCCCTCCCCTAGCGGGACCCTCTTCGGGGCTTGCTTCACTCTCGGCTGCTTCAGTGTGTCTGCTCCCCACCCCCCATGTGAAGACCTGAGATTGAGCGTGGATTTCTGTTCTCCACCAACTCTGCAGCAAGGGCCCTGCCAGAGGCGTCGCTTCCTGTCACCTCCTCTTCCTGCTCCCAAGTAGAGGCACCTAAACAGAGATTAGATTTCTGGTTTCAAGGCATATCGAACCAAGCACACCGACTGAACATGAGTTAGTTAGCTCGGTCTCTCTTCTTAACGGTCCCTGGTCTGAGTGTTCCTTGATGGCGAAGAGACCAGGAGAGAGTTGATTTGCATCTTAAGACCTATGGGTAACGCGTCTGGAGGGGGGGAGTTTTATTTAGCAACTGCTTGAACTTGTGTAGGGGGTTGGGAAGGAGGTGGAGCTGACCCCGATTGGGCTGTCGGAGAGAGGGGTGTGGGTGGTTCCCACGGCCACGCTGACGCCCCGGGCCTCCATGATGGCAGACAGGAGCTGCTGCTGCTGCTGGCGCAGGGTGTCTGCGATGAGCAGGGGCAGGGAGTTGAAGCTGGCAGTGAGATGCTCCAGCTTAGACTCCAGGCTGCCAATCTGCTTCTCCAGGTCTTCGCTCCGATCATTGAGTTCTGTGATTAAGTCATACATGACGTTCTGCATCTGTGTGGAGAGACAGAGAGACAAGGGACAGAGCGGTGACAGGTCACCACAGAGGAAACTGCAGTGGGAAAAGTGAACTACTTCTCCAAATTACAAAAGGGGCAACGCCCACACCAGCTACACCTGACGATGGAGCTGAGGAAGGAAAAGCAGTTCACTTTCCTGGAGACGTGGAGGCTGAAGTGGGCACACCATCTTTTTCTTTTTTTTTAATTATTATGAAAGCAATGGATATTACGGAGAATGCAATCAATATCACTGAATTGTACATATGTAAATTGTTGAAATGGTGTGTTTTTTTGCTGGGCCTATCTTCAACAAAAAAAATATTTAAAAAATAAAGGAAAAGAAAAAAAAGTGGTGGATATTAATTACAGAAAATTAAAAAAATATGTATAACAGAAAAGAAACAGCACATTTCTGGAGTCTTGAAACCATACTAAGAAGGAGCCCTGGTGGCACAGTGCTTAACCATTAATCAAAATCAGGGGTTCAAACCCGCCAGTCACTCCGTAGGAGAAAGAGATGGTAGCCTCTTTCCATAAAGATTTACAGCCTTGGAAACCTTGTGGGGGCAGTTCTACTCTATCCTATAGGGTCACAATGAGTTGGAATTGACTTGAGAGCAATGGTAAACCATTCCAATAGTCTTACTACACCCAATCTCCCAACTTCTGTGGCTGCTAGCATCTAACGATTAAAGAGAAGGAACTGTGTTGGGTAATAGACAATGCAACAGATTTATAATTAGTAGCCCAGGGCTCAAATACCAAGTCTGCAGATAAGCAGCAATGTGCTCTGGGTTAGGCCACTTGACCTCTCTGACCTTCAGTCTCCTTATATGCGTTTAAAATAAGAGTTAATAATAACTTCTACAGTTTTGAAGTTACTGTCCCTGTCCATCAGTTTATTTTCAACACAGCATCCAGAATGTAAAATGTAAGTCATGGTATACCACTCCTCTGCTCAAAGCCCTGCTATGGCTCCCATGTTACTCAGAACAAGAGTCAATGTCCATCTGTATGATAATCCACAGCCTCTGGCTCCCTATTATTGCTGTGAGATCCCATCCTCAAGCCCCTCTGTACTCACCTCAACCTGCTCTCACTTCCTTGCTATTCCTCGTACCCAATGGGCAGGTTTCTGCCTTAGATTTCTGGGATGTTCTGCCTGGAAGGCTGCAGTGGGTGCTGGGTGCCCCACCTGGACCCTCTTTCAGGCTGAGGCACTCATTCCCCAGATGTTGGAAGTCTTGTCTGTTGATGGCTGAACTCCCCACCTCCCATCAAGCATGGTTCTCAGCCAAATGGAGCTGCATCCAAGGAGGTGACAGACCCTCCCCTACCTGGTATATGATGAGGCATAGAGGCCAGGTCCACTTTGTCTGAATTTGGGACCTCTCTGAAGAGCCCCTCCATCTCCAAGCTACCCATGGGGTTGGCTAAAGCCTTGTTGGCTGTGTCACAGTTCAAACTCTTCCTCTGTTCAATCCTGCCTCCCTTACTCCTGACAAGTGTGTCCTGAGAACGCTCCCCAACACCTCTCCTGCACTCAACTCTGTCTCAGAGTGTTCCAGAGAACCTAACCTGTTACCAGTGCCCTTCCTTTAGAAAGTTCATGGCCAGCACCCTTGCCTCCTTTTAAGTCTTTCCTTAAAAATCACCTTCTCAATGAAGCCCTATTTAATATTACAGTCCCCTACCATTCCCAATCTGCTAACTCTTCTCAACTTTTTTGTTTTCTTCACAGCACTTATAACCTTCTAACATACTAGATGAGGACAGTGGTGGTGCAGTAGTAGTAAAATTCACATTTCCAAGAGAGACCCAGGTTCAATTCCTGGCCAATGCACCTCAAGCATAGCCCCCACCCATTTGCCAGTAGAGGCTTATGTAACGCTATGATGCTGAACAGATTTCAACAGAGCCTCCAGACTAAGACTATGAAGAAAGGACTGGCAAACTGACTTGCACAAATCAGCCAGTGAAAACCCTATGGGTCACAACAGCCCAAACTTGTGCATGAGATTACCATGATTTAGGGGCAGACTTGATGGCTGCTAACAATACCACCACCACACTAGATAACTGGATTATTTATTCTGTTTATTGTCTGTCACCTCATCCTCAAGGGCAGGGATCTTTGCCTGTTGTGTTCATTGATGTATCCCAAGGGCCTACAACAGTGTCTGGCACATAGAAGATGCTCAACGAACATTTGTGGATGGATGGATGTATACTAGTGTGCTTAGCAAGGGTGCCTGTCTGCACATGATTGGTCCTTAAGATGTCAGTAGAACAAATGAATGGATAAAGTAGTGGCATAGGTAATAATCACTATTCCTTTCTTCCTTTAGCCAAAGTAATTTTGATTGATGGGGAAAGACCTTCTGCTTCACAAAAATTTCCATGTCTCTAAAATCAAACTAAATAAGAAAAGAATACTTCCTAGGGGACCTAGCATAGGGTCTGCCTCTGCAGAAATGGTGCATAGGGAGGTTTTGTGAATGAAGATTGAAGGAGGTAGTGAGAACATGGGAACAAAAATGGGGTGCTCTCTAGGAGCATAGAATAAAATAAAACTTAAAAATAATAAAATAAAATTGGTAGATGGGAGCTAAGTCATAAAACCAGGCCAGAGCAGAGCTAGACAAAGGGATCTTATGCTAAATGCTTCACTTTTCCTCCTCAATATGCTATTTTCCCAGGGCCCCCTTTTTCCCGAACAGAGGTACAAAGCCTGTCCTGCACTGTAGGTGCTTAATAAACAACTACTGAATTAATGATCAGAAAAAGAAATCGGGAATCAGAGAGGGAGAAAGAAAGGCGAGCAGAGAAAAACGTGAAGCAAACACTGGTAATGCCCATACCAGCACCCACCAGGGAGAAGATGCCTCCATCAGTGGACTCAGAGGAGTCCCCTCCTCGCTGGTGGCAAGGTCTCTGCCTTCAGCACATGCAGCAAGCAGTGTTAACAGATGCTATGATACACTCAAGGGATAGGGTCATGTCCCATGGTTCTGACTCCACTCCCTATCAGGCAATTTTCTGATGAGAATTTGACTTTCTGTGTTGGTCTGAGATCCCTAGGTGGCACAAATTGTGCTTGACTACTAACCCAAAAGAAGCCCTGGTGGTACAAACCCACCAGGAAGTTTAAACCCACCCAGTGGCTCCATATGAGAAAGACTTGGTCATGTGTCTCCAGAAAGATTCCATAACCTATTGCCATCAAGTTGATTCCAACTCATAGTAACCCTATAAGACAGAGTAAGACTCTCCCATAGGGTTTCCAAGGCTGTAAATCTTTACAGAAGCAGACTGCCTCATCTTTCTCCCACAGAGTGGCTGGTGGGTTCAAACTACCAGTATTTTGGTTTGCGGCCCAATGCTTTAACCATTGCACCACCAGAGCTCCTCCACAAAGATTACATACAGCCTAGAACACCCCGCAAAGCAGTTCTACTCTGTAATGGGTCACCGTTAGTTGTAATCAACTCGACGGCAACAGGTTTGGTTTTGGTTTTGACGTCGGTCTGCAGATAGTCCTGGTGTGTGTAATAGTCATATTTCTCCTGGCAAACTAACAAATGACATTCTGGCTCTGTGAGCAAGATTCTGGGGGGTCTTCACACTCTCAAGGACTGTGGAATGAGGTTCCTGTGGCTGCAATGGCAGAGGGCCAGCACGAGGGTCACTTTGTCCCTCCCAAGATATCATGGCTCTTTGGGCTGCTGGTGATCGGCCAGTGGCACCCCAATCCTATTTTACCTTCCATTTCAAGTTACTTCAGGACAATGCAGAAACCACTGGTACCTCCACGGGCCAAGGGAGCAGCAGGAAAAGAAAAAAAGATGAGAGGGAAAAAATGAGAAGTAAAAGAAGGTGGCAAAATATGAGAAGCCAGAGAGGAGATGGGGGTTGGGGGAGGGAGTGGAAGTTGTTGTGATAGCTTCCCAGCTGACAACAGGCCCCACATGAACCGGTGCAGCGGGAAGAGGAGTCCACAGCTGTAGAACGCAGGCAGCTCCTCTCCAGTTAGTTCTGCTGTTTCGAGACCAGGACACTACATCATGGAAGCTCTCTGAGAAGAGGGTGACTTTGGAAGTGAAAGTACTTCTGTCCTTAATTAACATTCACAGAGCCTCCTCAAGGGGCACATCCTTCCCGGAATAGACAGAACCACAAATGTACTTGACCAAAGGGCCATCCTGACAGCTCTGGACTCAGAGCCCAGCCCCTGGATTTGAGTCCCAGTGTTGCCACCGCCAACTGCCTCACCTTGGGATGGTCACCTTGCTCCATTGGGTCTTGGTTTCCTCATCTATATTCATAACCAGAACTACCATTTGCAAAAGCCTTTACAGATTACAAAACATCCCCACAAATATCACCTTACATGATCATTGGAGCCTCAGATGGTAGAAATTATTTTTCTACTTCAGTGCATGAAATGGAAGCTATCAAATAAAGAGGCCAAGCCATCTCTCTCACCCTGTAAGATAACTATGCGATACAGAAAATAACATTTGGAGGCCAAACACCATATTCGTAACCAGAGAAGACCAAAGGGCAGGATGAGGAGGTGAGGAGGTAGGAGGAGGAAGCACAAAGAAAGCAAGAAGAGCGAACACAGCATCACTGTCTCCCCTGTTCTGTTGCCTGGTGACAGGATGCCATAGGGAAGGTAGGCCAGTGTAAAACATGCTAAGCTGCTACCAGAACCTTGTGAGAATCTCCTGGGAGAAAAAGACAAAGACTGGAAGAATGTCAGAGTTCACCTCCTCTCCAGATCTCCTACTAGGCCCCCCACAGCAGGCCTCCAAAGACATTGTCCTTAACCCTTTCCTGCACACACTTGCTTTATAGACAACTAGATACCCTGATGATTCATGGTTTAGCCCTCCCAACTGAAATGAGTGTCCAATTCACTGTGGTTTTTGCTTCACCCATTCTGCTCTGCACTAGGCACCACTTCTGGGAAAGGCAGTGGCTGGCACTGCAGAAATGAAGCTTGAAAGTCCAGTCTGCCTGACACTCCCGAGAGAACATGGCCACTTCAATGTGTCCTGCTAAGTGAGAGGTGAAGCAGGAAATACTGCTGTCTGTAGAAGAAAGATCTTGGAGTGTCTTCAATATCTTCTGAGCTGTTAGGCTATTTCTAAAGCTCAGAGCACTATTCCCTGTTCACAGGGGTGGGCCTCTAGCCATATTTGCCCATACGACCCTCTTCCTGGCCACAGTTGATTGGTCCAAGGATGGACACATGACCCAAACCGGCCAATCATATAATCTCTTGTGAGAATTTAGAATTAAAAACAACAGGAGGCCAATTAGTCTTTGCCTGGGGCTAGAATTATAATATGTACTCTCCGGATTGGGGGCCTGGCATAGTCTGCCACGAAGACAGGAGGCTTAGAAAGCTGTTGTGAGAGAAGGGAGAGAGAAAGAGAGAGAATTGAAGCAGGCACTTGAACAGAAGGAGAGAGACGAGATGGTGAGAGAATATTTCCTGGGTTGTGAGACTCTTCCCAGTTCCCTCCTGAAGCCTGGCCACATGCTTGCTTTCAGGTTTGTTCCGGAATGAGACTCCCTTGCATTTATAGCCCATAGGTGGTGCAAGCAGTTTGCAATCAGCTGCTGAGCTATACGTTGGTGGTTCATACCCACCCAGCACCACCACGAAAGAAAGACCTGGTGATCTGCTTCCATAGAGATTACAGCCAAGAAAATCCTATGAAAGGCAGTTCTCTAACACATGGGGCCACCATGAGTCAGAAGCGACTCAACAGCAATGGATTTTTTTTTTAATGGTTACATTAATTCTCTCCATTTTTTTTAATCAACCAAGTGTTTTTTTAATTCAAATTGTATACAGAAAACGCATTAATATTAGGCATATCAATACAATGTGGTTCTGAACTGAATACTCAAGTCTAAAATTCAATATATATTCCAAACAAACAAGAAGCTGTGTTTGTTTAATTTAATTTCCAAATAGAATACAACACTTTTCCTTGTTCTATTTGGTGAAAATCTACAGACTTTACCTACGCTTTCATCAATTCTGTAGCCAAAATGTTCTCTTATCTCCTCTGCATAAGATGTAATATGAACAGAAAAAAATGTGAATTAATTTAATTTTTTAAAAAACGTGACTTCATTGTGTTTCTTTTCAAAATCAATTGAAAAAATAACAGTAACTAAGTGTATGGTAACCAATCCACAACACAGTAACTGCAAAGGAAGAGTGAAAAATAACAGGCTATATAACTAGGCAAGGAGCTCTGGTAGTGTAGTGCCTAAGGCACTTAAGTACTAACCAGAAGTCTGGCGGTTCAAGCCCACCAGCCACTCCTCGGCAGGAAGGTTGGGCGATCTACTTCTGTAGTGATACCGCCTCAGAAACCCAAGGAGGGGCCACTATGAGTCGGGTCCAACTCGATGGCACATAACAATATAACTAGGCCACCAAAATTTGGACAACTCTATGCATTAATTCCCTCCATTTTTAAACCTAGTTCCAGTAGGTTTCTGATATCGGAACCCAAGAGCATAACCAAAACATCCCAAGGGCCCAGGAGTTCTCCCATGCACTCTGGTGTTTCCACGGTCCATTCACATCCTCCCCTGCCTCCAGTCTCCCGGAAACCCACTCTCTCCACTTAAGTGCCCCTCCTCTAAAGGCACACAGGCCTGTGGGCTTCTCCCTGACTGTGGCAATCCACTTACCCCCTAATTGGAGTCCTCGCAGGCTTAGGAAGCCCTTTCTTTGGCTTGATCCCTTTATTGAACAAGGCGCCTGCACGTGGCCCCACAACCAGTAATTTCTCTGATTGCACCCTCTTTTCAAAGGGTGCTTAATTTGCCTGAGGGAGTTTCTCTTGCTTACCCAGGGAACGTGTTCCATTTATGGTAATTGACATCTGCTGGAATGTTCTGCCAGCCTGGCCCTGGGCTGTACACTTGATATACAATTTCTATCAAGTGTCAGTGAGCAGAGAGGGAGGCCCCTTTCTTCAATGGCGCCCACACTCAGCTCTGCCAGCAGTGCAGCCTTCAGTACCTTCGTTTTAGTGATCTGCAGGAGGAGCGAGTTTCTCTACAGTATTTACAGCAGTTCAGTGCCAGCAACGCAGAATGACAATGTGATATCAAGACCAAGGCTCTCCAAGGAGGGCTTTCTTTGTTGTCATCTTCATATTCATCTTAGACTATCTGCCTTCTGAGAAGTCTGAGAAATTACCCCTCCCTGATTTGGGGTCAGAAAAACTGGGCTTTAAGGATTGGAGAGTCCCAGAAAATGAATTTCCAATTATAACATCAAGTCAGAATGATCTTCTAAAGCATGACCTCATCAATCATCATTCTGGTCTTCATTGTGTGTTTTCAAACCAGTTGGCCGTCAAGTTAACTCTGACTCATGGTGACCCCATGTGTGTCAGTGTAGAACTGTGCTCCATTGAGTTTTCAATGGCTGACTTTTTTTGGAAGCAGATCACTGGGACTTTCATCCAAGGTGACTCTGGGTGGATTTGAACCGCCCACCTTTCAGGTAGCAGCCGAATGCTTAACTGTTTACATCATCCAGGGACCCCTAATGTGCTTTACCTCTATGCAAACTCAAACTCATTCTTAGAAGCCCCTTAATGCACAGCTGATAAAACACTAAAAAAATTAATAAAACCAAAAAAACAAAATCACTGCTGCCAAGTTGATTCGACTCACAGCAATCCTTCCTTGGGTTTCCAAGGTGATATCTCTACGGAAGTAGATTGTCCAGCTTTCCTTTCGAGGAGTGGCTGGTGGGTTTGAACCACCAGCCTTCTAGTTAGTAGTCAAATACCTTAGGCATTACACCAGCAGAGCTCCCTAGGTTAGCTAGTTAATCCCAAGCAAAGACAAATGAGCTATTTAACTTAAGAAATAAATGCCAGGTTTTAAAAGACAAGGTATACTGGTAGGCTGTAAATATCAAGAATTTGAACATAGATTATTTTTTAAACAAAGAGGAGTTGTTCTTTCTTGCTTGGACACAGCCAGGTCTTCACAGCTGCAGCTGAGAAGTCTACATACCGCTGAAGTCTATAGGGCGTCTTTGGATTCTGGCACTCACCTTGGAAAGGTCCACCAGCGTGTTGGCTTGGTCGCTCAGCTTTCTCTGCTCCATCTTGACGCTCCTCAGCCTGTGGGAAAGAGTCATAACAGTTGTATCCTGCAAGTGCATCGAAAGGTTTAGCCCCATGAGGAGCAGTTTCTATGTCCACATCAGTTAATCTGATTTGGGGACCTAGCATGGGGACCTTGAATATGTGGGCCAGCATCAAAGGCTTGTCAAGTCCCCAAGAAAGCAAACTCTTGTCCCAAGCGTGTATGGCCTCAGTCATGTTATTTTCCTCACTCTCCTCGGATCTTTTCCCTGCCTTCTATGCCTTGGCCTAAGGAATCCATGGATGGTGCAAATGATTAAGCATTCTAATTGAAAACTTGCTGATTTGAACCCACCCAGAGGTGCCTTAAAAGAAAGATTACAGCTTTGAAAACCCTGTAGAGCACAGTTTTACTCTGCTCATGAATGGTAGAACTGGAATAGACTGGACTGCAACTGGTTTGCTTTATTTACTTAGTTTTTTATGCATTTGCCTCGGCTATGCTTTCTGCCTTGAATGTCCTACTCTCATCCTTATCAGTGTCCCCAAACCTCCAGGTCAGAATAAATGTTTTCATCCTCTACTTTTCCATTATACATTTTTAATACCTCTACCATACATAGGACAGAACCCTGGAGGCACAACAGTTAAGCACTTGGCTAACTGAAAGGTTGGTGGTTCAAACCCAACCAGCCAGAAGAAGACCTGGTGATCTGCTTCTATTAAGATTACAGCCTAGAAAACCCTATAGGGCAGTTCTACTCTGTCCTTTAGAGTGGCTGAGAAGTTCTGGTGGTGCAGTCATTAAAACATTTGGCTGCTAACCAAAAGGTCAGTAGTTTGAACTCACCAGCTGTTCTGCAGGAGAAAGATGAGGCAGTTGGCTTCCATAAAGATTTACAGCCTTGGAAACCCCATGGGGCAGTTCTACTCTGTCCTATAAGATGGCTATGAGCTGGAATCCACTTGATAGTGTATAACAACACTGCACATAGCACAGGTCCCAGCTTGTTCTGCTTTGGGTTGTCATGTATGTGAAGGATGGGAGAACTTTCAAAGTTTTATTTATTATCTAGTTTTTACCTTTCTCCGCACCCTGCCCAATGCCTGACACACGGCAGGTGCTATACACAGACAGCTCTGGGTCGTGGTCACCACCCCCATACTTGTTGAGTGCACCTCCTGAGTCTATCAGAAAATGCTGGCAGAGCCTGCTGCTGATCTGGTCATCTGGCAGCTAAGCTCCCTGGCGTACTCACTGGTGGATAGCTTGGAGGAACTTCCTCTGGTGCTTTCTGACTTTGGCGTGGTCAATCTTCTTTAGCAGCTTCGTGTGTTTATAGATTAGCCAGGTTTCCCGAAGGACATTGGCTGCAGCATTCTTGATCTAAGGAGAAAGAGATAAAGCAGGCTGCTATCAGGTTAATTTTCATAGGTTCACATAACATGTTTTTCATGTTTGTTGATACATGCTACCTTATAAGGAAACGATTCTGCAATGATCTCTTTTTCTTAATCGAAATCATGAACTCTTAGAAAAGATGATTAAAATTCATCTCTTCTAATCCTGTGTTGGCCACAGTAGACTGGAGCTTGAAGTTGAGGGGTGTTTCTTGTTTTTTTCTTATTTCAGCACTTCCTCTCTGCTTTGCCTGATGCTATGTTTAGACAGGCACCATTACCAGGCCTGGGGCACTGTTTCAATAGTTACATATATGCACTGCTGCCCTCACCCACAGAGTTCTATTCTCTACCTGAGATTTCATTTAGGGAACATGGTTCATTTCTTGGATTTTGAGAGTAAAAAGATTTCCTATTGGCTGGAGATGTCTGGTGGTGTAGTGCCTAAGGCATATGAGTGCTAACCAGAAGGCTGGGGGTTCAAACCCACCAGCCACTCCTAGGAAGGACGACTGGGCAATCTATTTCCATAGTGATACTGCCTGGGAAACCCAAGGAGGGTCGCTATGAGTTGGATCCGACTCGACAGCAGTGTGTTTGGTTTGGTTTGTTTTTTCTTTGAAGAAATGTCTTCCCCACTGATTGGAACTATAGAAACAAAGAAAAACAAATTCACTGCCATTGACTCGATTCTGACTCATAGCAACCCCCATTGGGTTTCTGAAGCTATAAGTCTTTATGGATGTAAAGGCTTCCTTCCATGGAGTGGCTGGTGGGTTTGAATCACTGACCTTCCAGGTAGCAGCCAAATGTCTTATCCACTATGTCACCAGAGCTCCTTTGAATGGAACTATAGGTATCAACAAGTCTATTGTTTGCTTCCCCAAATGGTCAAAAACATGTACTATGTAACTGTACGTGAAAATGCAATCGGAATAAAACAAATGATTTCAAAGCAACATCTGAAAATCAGGGAAGATATTGAGGTGTGAAACCAGAGCCGCCTCTTTCCCAGGGCTGGCTCCTTGGCTGTGTACAGCAACCACACGTTTCAACATATGACGCTGTCATCTGTTGACATGGAAACCACTGATATCACCCGGCTCACGGCTGAGCTGAGACATATCAATGGCATCCAGATGGCAGAGGACAAAGTTTTAATCCAAACACAGACATCTTCAGCAATTAGTAACAAGAGCAAGAGGAAACATTCTGTATTAAGCACAAACTAAACAGATTTTTGATTAACTGTTTCCATTTCTGTCAGCCATGCAAACTGGCATGGGTCCACAAGGCTCAGGGCCTGGAAGTAAGTAGGGCAGCCTAGGAGAAATCAGGTTACTAGCCAGAAAGGATTTTAATAAAACTGAAAGGTACAGACCCACTTCTTCAGACTGACATCAACAGATGGGACGTTTTTAAAATACTGAGACGTGTGGGAAGGCCTAGAAACATTGTTTTGCAGGCTGATAACTTTTGCGTGTGTATGTTTTAAAAATTTATTACCAAGGCTGGATTATATTTTTCATTGGCGCTGAAGTGATATTTTTAAAAGAACAGCTAAGTCTTCTCAGAAATGTCTAAGTGACATAAATATTGCTCTTTTGTTCAGTAAAAATCCACTGTGAAAATGGTTTTAAATGACTTAATTGCCCATCTCAGGTACTTTCTTGCCTGAAGGAAGCAGGTGGTGGTGGGTGGAGCTGGAAATGGTGGGTGCCCCTATGAGGAAGGGGAAGGTGGAGCAGGCAGGGAAGGGGGTAGTCTCAGGGTCTCTGCTCTGTGGCTGAAGTAGACAATGGCCTCCTGACAGAACAGGCATCACTGAAGGGAAGCCTCACTCTCTGCAGAGCGCATGCACCTTCTGGCCTTTTGTAGGGAGAGGGGGCAACCTGACGTTTGATTTCTTCGTTCTCTCCAGGTGCTTACCAGTCGTCATTGATTCCATTTGCATTCACGGTGATCCCATGTGTGTCAGAATAGAACTGTGCTCTGAAGAGTTTTTCGGTGGCTGATTTTTTTTTCAAAGTGGATCACCAGGTCTTCTGGTGCCTCTGGGTTGACTCAAACTGTCAGCCTTTCGGTTAAAAGCTAAGCACGTTAACCATTTGCACCATCCAGGTGCTTAGCGTCCAAGATAGGTCTCAAAGAAAAACAGGAGGGAAAAGCCCTGCCCTAGCATTTATGATGATCAGCAGAGTGTAGGCACATGAGTCTCCTCTTTGGAATACTGATGGAGCCATGGAATGTCAAAGCTGATAGGCCTTTGGCAATTGTCTCTGCATTGGTGTGGAACAAACATTTGAAATTGGAAAGGCTGCAATTGACTCCTTGTTCCATCAGTTATTAAGCAGTTGGAGCAAATGCTTACTTATCTATAAAAACCAGTTACCATCAAGTCGATTCTGACTCCTGGAGACCCCATGTGTGTCCAGTAGAGCTGTGCTTCGTAGGATTTTCAGTAGCAGTGATCTTTGGGAAGTAGAATGGGAAGACTTTCTTCAAAGGAGCCTCTAGGTAGACTTGAACTGCCACCCTTTGGGTTAGCAGCTGATTGTGTTAACTGCACCACCCACAGATTCCATTCATTGTCTATATCTTTGTTGTTCAGGTGTGCTGTTGAGTTGATCCCAAGTCATAACTACTCTGTAGGACACAGTAGAAGTTCCCTGTAGGCTTTCCAAAGGAGCAGATCACCAGGTTTTTTTCACCCATGGAGCCACTCACTGGTGAGTTCAAACTTCTGACCTTTCAGTTAGCAGGTGAGCAATTCACCATACTGTTATCGGGGCTCCTTTTAATTGTCTATAAGATGAGAAAAATGAATCCTTCCCTAAAGGGTTGCTACAAGGATCAAATGAGGCAATGGTGATGGTGATGGTACTGCTGGGGACAACAGCTAAAATTTCCCAGGCATCAGGCACAGTTCTGAGTACTTCATCTGTATGAATTTATTTAATCTTCATGACAACTCCACTAAGCAGGTACAAGTGTTATCACAAGGAGCTCGGGTGGTTGAGTGGTCAAGGTATTCAGCTACTCACCAAAAAGTCTGTGGTTTGAACCCCCAGATGCTTCATGGAAGAAAGACTGGAAACCCTGTGGGCAGTTCTGCTCTATCCTACAGGGTCTCTATGAGTCAGAATCAACTGCACAGCAATGAGTTTGGTTTAAATTGAGTATTATCCCCGTTTTACAGATGAAGAAACCAAGGTACAGACTAAGACCATAAAGCTGTAAATGGTAAACTGAGTTAGTGTGGACGTAAGTGCTTTATGAAGTACCATTCACTTCATTATTAGTTAGTGTAATAGAACTGGTAGTACTGATAAAAAAAAAAAAAAAAAAAATTCACTGCCATCGAGTCATATCCCACTCATAGCAACCCCTCCTTGGGTTTACAAGGGGGTATGTCTACGGAAGCAGATTGCCCAACCTTCCTTCCAAGGAGTGGCTGGTGGGTTTGAATCGCCAACTTTCTGGTCATCAGTCAAATACCTTGGGCACTATGCCACCAGAGCTCCCAGTAGTACTAATGATACTATTAATGCTATTAGTTACTCTAATCTCTCCCCAAACCCCCATTTTAAGCATGAGGAAACAGCTGTGGAGACTGGATGCGAGGGCCAGAATCACACAGCCAGCTAATGGCAAAGCCAAAGCAAGAGCCAGGTCCAAGAAGGTCATGTTTCCATGTAGTCTGAAGGAAAGACCTGACTGCATTCATCTCTACACAGACAAAATTATTTCCTGTTTTCCAGGATCAAGGAATTGGAAAAAACATTCTTTTTTTTTAAATGATCCTAGCCCTTACTGAGCAATGTGACAGAACAGGGAGTCCATGTCCTGCACTTAACTTCAGCAGAGATGTAGGGGTGGAACCACAGCCCAGCCCTGGGAGCTGAGAGAAGCAGTCACATCATCTTTATGGGGTTGAACAGGAGGAGGCCCCTGTGCGTTTGAGAAAGTGATGTTAAATGCAAGCTCTGCTGCTGACTCTCAAATTAATTGCCAGCAAACAGCCTAGCACAAAGCTAAGTAGATCAATATCTGTAAGAGAAAAAGAAATAGGCTTTTAACTGCACTGTGCTTTCCCAGGTTGACAATGAATGCTACTGCGACCAGGGTCCATCTCCAATTCACCTGGCTGATTGCTTCGAGCATCTTTGGGGTGGGGGACAGATGAGGCCCTGTGCTCCTCCTGGGATTAGCTAAACTCGGCAGGGCTCCCAAGCACCATTTCCTGGTGGGGGTTTGGGTACCCTCTGAGCTCTTCTGATGGGCAGGGGCACTGGGACCAGAAGATGCTCCCTGGGAGAGGGGGCAGAATGGGCTTAGGATGGAGGCAACAAACTGGAAGGAATGAGTGTTATGGATTGGACGATGTTCCTCAAATATGTTGTTGTTGTTGTTATGTGCCGTCGAGTCGGCCCCAACCCATAGCGACCCCTCCTTGGGTTTCCAAGGCAGTATCACTATGGAAGTAGATTGCCCAACCTTCCTTCCAAGGAGTGGCTGGTGGGTTTGAACCGCCAGCCTTCTGGTGAGCAGTCAAGTGCCTTAGACACTATGCTACCAGAGTTCCTTCCTCAAATATATGTGTTGAAAATCATAACCTCTCTGCCTATGATTATAATCCCAATTGGAAATGGGTTGTCTTTGTTATGCTAATGAGGATTAGTGTGGGGTGTATCTTGAATCAATCTCTTTTGAGATATAAAAGAGATTAAACAAATGAGCAGGCAGAGATAGGGGAAGAGAGAATGCCAAACCACACAAACATCACTTAGGAGCAGAAGCTCAAAGAAACAAGGACCTTCCTCCAGAGCCAACAGAGAAAGATAGCCATCCCCTAGAGCTGGCTCCCTGAATTTGAACTTCGAGCCTCCTAAACTGTGAGAAAATAAATTTCTGTTTGGTAAAGCCACCCTTTTGTGGTATTTCTGTTAACAGCAGCTCTAGATAACCAAGACAATGAGCGAGCTT